CTACCCCACACACCTCCGACTGCCTGAGACTGGTGAGGGACCTGTTATCCCAATAGCCCCTCACCCACACACTGCCTGACCCTGGGGGGTTTAAAACCTGTTACCCCAATACCCCCCACTGCCTGAGACTGGGGAGGGACCTATTATCCCAATAGCCCCTCACCCACACACTACCTGAGACTGGGAGGGGACCTGTTACCCCAATACTCCCCCCCCCCACTGTCTGAGTTTGGATGCGGGTAAAACCTATTGTTGTCCCAATAGCTCCTCACCCACATGCTGCCTGAGACTGGGGGTGGGGGGAGGGACCTGTTACCCCAATACCTCCCACTGCCTGAGACTGGTGAGGGACCTGTTATCCCAATAGCCCCTCACCCACACACTGCCTGACCCTGGGGGGTTTAAAACCTGTTACCCCAATACCCCCCACTGCCTGAGACTGGGGGGGGGGAGAAACCTGTTATCCCAATAGCCCCTCACCCACACACTGCCTGAGACTGGGGGGGAGGGAACCTGTTATCCCAGTACTCCCCCCCCCCCCACTGCCTGAGACTGGGTGGGGGTAAAACCTGTTATTCCAATAGCCCCTCACCTGCACACTGCCTCAGGTGTAAAACCTGTTATCCCAATAGCTCCACTACTGCTTGACACTGGAGGTGTAAAACCTGTTAGCCCAATAGCCTCCCCCACTGCCTGAGACTGGGTGGGGCGTAAAACCTATTACCCCAATAGTCCCCCCCACTGTCTGGGGGGGGAGAACTTGCTACTGCAATAGCCCTCCCCAACACACACTGATTGAGACAGGGGGAGGGAGATAGAAGGGGGTGTCTAGAAGGTGCTCCAAGCAGAAAACTCTTATCTTTACAAACATAAGCTATGTTTATATAACAAACTGGCCTAAAGAAGCCATGTACCAGGGGAAATGGGCAAGCCAGCAGCCCCCATTTCTTGAAGATCCTTCTATGGCTGTTTCTAGGGTCTGTTTTAGGTTCTGATCTAATTTTTGTCAACCAAAAGTCTAAGTAGATATTGGACAATCTATTTGATATTAAATCCCAGTTTCTTTGTTGCACCCTTCCTGTAGTATCTCCACGATCTTGCAGAGCTACATGTCATTTCCCACTCAGCAGCTGCAGTTAGATAGATACATTGTAAGATGTTAATTAAAGGCCTGGGGAACATTCTAATCAACATAAAACAAAAAAACATTACCCCCCCCCCCCGCAAAGGAAATGAATTGTATGTTTTGGTGTACATGCCATGTCTGCCTACATTCATTACTCCTGGGGGCATTCTGTGCCAAAAAATTCTGTGCACAATATTTTAAAATTCTGCAAATTTTATTTGTCAAAATAATACTATATAATCATGCCAGTTTCAATTATTTTGGTAATTTATTTCAAAATACCTGTCAGCAAGTATGTCTGTAACAATACAGAAAAAATTCCCCCCAGAGTAGAGAAACCCCTATGACAACCCAGTTCCTGTTTCTCCCCCCCCTCCCCCGAGGCCAACCGAAGCCCCCTCTCTCCTCCCCCCCAGACACCTTGTCTCCCCCTCCCCCGAGCCTAGGGATCCAGAGGGAGAAAGAGCTTGATGCTCCATCCCAGGCTTGCACAGAGTCAGTTTCCTGCACGCCACCTTCTCCTTCCCTCAGGGTGTAATGGGAACTGCAGCTGCCAGGAACCCTCTAGCTGGCCCTCCCCCCAGCAGTGTCTTCCATGTGCAAGCTGGGCTCTGCAGAGTCCAATGGCCCCTAGTGGCAGCTAGCAGCACTGCAGCCCATTTCTGGGGGGGAAAGGAAAATCTGCATGCATGTTAATTTCTGAAATATTCTGCATTGCGCAGTGGTGCAGATTTCCCCCAGGAGTAACTCATATCTGCCACACTGCTTTCCTGAAAGCAAACTAGTCAGGCCTCAGTCAGGAGAAATTTTAGTGACAACAATGAGAGGAAACCAAGCTAACATTATTGCTCTTCTGAACTGGGCAACAGGTGAGCTCCCTCTTAGCATTGTATAAGAGGAACTTGGTTACTTCTCAAATGTAGATTCAACTTCTTGGGCTGAAAGTGAAAAATGGTCATCCAGCACCTCTCTGGAAATGTCCTTCCCGCTAACAGCCTCTTGTGTCAAAGAAAGATGGAGTTCTTACCCATGTTCCTATCAAAATCCCATGACCAAACAGTAAGATTTCTGTTTAACCACTACCCCAATCTCAGAGGCGGGGGGGGGAGCCTATTGGGGTAAGCATTTTTACCGTCTCCTCCAATTCCAGGTAGTGTGGGTGGGTGGAGGGAGACTATTGGCATAATAGCTTTTAGCTCCCCTGCGCGCGCGCGCACGCACACACACACAGTCCCAGGCTGAGTGCACAGGGCTATTGGATTAACTCATTTTCTCAAACACACACACAAAGCCTTAGGCAGTGTGTGGGGGCTATAGGGGTAAAAGCTTTTATACCCCCAGAAACAGCCCAGATATCCTGAATTCTGTGCACACACATATACATGTAAAAACATGTACTTATTTGCATATCTAATTTGCATATGCATTATTATAATTCTGGCTATTTGTATCAGCAGTTATAGGCAATGCATGCAGCAATTCTGAAAACTTAGGCCTATACATTAATGTTTTTTATGTTGCTTGCATCTATGAAGACATTGAGTTTTGACCAAATTTAGGTGTTCAAGTTCACGTGTAAGCCAAGAACTATTCTGCATGCAAAAATCTGTAATACAATTGATTGTCCCTATACCTTCCTGCACAGTGTTTTGGTATATACAAAGGAAATGTGCTAGTAATAGCATTTGTATGCACAATTGCAATATTCATTGGCACAAATATAATAATTTGATTTTGCCAGATAAATAAAAGATTTGGGGCCTCTGGTCTTATGTGTCTTTTTTTAAGCTTTGTAGAAATAAAACATATCTTGAGGAAGAATTCTGAGGATTAGTCTGGACAAATTACCCAGTTCGCTGCTACCTGGGACTATTTCCTCACCAATCACCAAACATTTGTTTTAACATCTTCAACTTTAATTTTGTTCTTTCCCCGGTTGAAACTGTTTGATGTTTTTCTCTAATGGTATCTTCAGCCTGCAGCTTTTCACTAGTGATTTAATTCATATTACACCAACTGTATAAACAAAAATTCAAGGTAAATATGAAACATTAGCCATGCCCTAATAATACTTGAATAATGTGTGCTTCTAATCTGCCTTCCTGGGACCTCAAATTGTGCCTTACATTCATTAATCCTCATAAGGGAAATCTGAGGTAAGTAAAATTTAGACTAAACTCATCATTTTAGGACCCGATCCATCAAACATTTAACCACATACATAACCTTATTCATATGAGTAGTGTACAATGCTAACAACTCAGTGGAACTACTCATGAATAAAGTTACATACATGCTTAAGTGTTTGCAAGATAAACTTCTCATTTCAGTGAGAACCAGACTGAGCCTTCAGGAAATAGAGACAACTGAAGAAACCTTCCAACTAATAATGAAAGAAAACTGATGAATGCTGTCTAGATATGCCACTTATGTACACACCTTAACAACTTACCACCAGGTAACTGGTCCATGTGCAATAATTCTTGAATTCAAGTGTCACCAAAACTACCAAATCCCTGCT